CTTATCACCTGGAGTAGGCTGATGCATGTTTTTCATCAGCTGGTACTGATCCCCATTGGTAAGCTATGGGAAATTACCTATCTGATGCTCAACGATGTCACTGGGCTGAGTTCTCCTATTTATTTTACAAGGCTGGACATGCCATATGTAATGCAGACCTTGCTGCTTTGCTGGCAAAAGTAAGTTCTTGTTGCTCTTGGTGCCCAGAAAGTGGTTATTTAAGTGGAGAAGATTGGGAAGATGAAGGTAAGAAGCTCATGAGAAGGTGCGAGCTCCCATTACATGCTTGTCATCTTTGTCCAGTGCTATTTGTCTCCCAGCAAAAACTTCCTCCTCTGTCTGCTACCACCAGGCCTCCACTTGTGATCCAGACATTATTTTTTTTAATATTTATTATTTAGGTTTCAGTGGATACAACATCTTTATTTTATTTGTATGTGGTGCTGAGGATCGAATCCAGCACCCCACGCATGCCAGGTGAGCGAGCTATCACATGAGCCACATCCTCAGCCCCCACACATTATTTGTGGAGGTGTTTCCTCTGCCTTCACTGACTCCTTCTCCTCTGATGCCACTGCCACCACCTCTGGTTAGGTCTCATTTGGCTGAATGTTTACCGCAAGTGGAGGAGTAGGGAGAAACTCACACCTTAGCTGTTTGTCCTATTAGGCTAAATCCTGCTGGACAGACAGAGTATAAGCAATTATCTTTTGCTGCATAAATGCATTCAATTGTCATGTATAACTAATTAAAACCAAATAAAAAAACTGTTTTTAAAAAAAGAGCTGGGGGCTGGGATGTGGCTCAAGTGGTAGTGCACTGGACTGGCATGTGCGAGGCACTGGGTTCGATCCTCAGCACCACATAAAAAATAAATAGATATTGTGTCCACCTAAAACAAAAAAATAAATATTAAAAAAAGAGCTTCTGGGGGAATGAGATGGACATCATTACCCTAGGTACATGTATGACTGCATATACGGTGCAATGCTACATCGTGTACAACCAGAGAAATGTAAAGTTGGACCACAATTGTGTACAGTGAATCAAAATGCATTCTGCTGTCATATACACTTAATTAAAATAAATACACAAATAAAAAATAAATAAATAAGAATTTCAACCAGTTCTTTTGGAAAGTGGCAAAAAAGGAGGGAAAGCATATATCCAGCCTTCTCAAGATCCTACGACACAAATGTTGCCAATCCAGACTCAGCTGTTTGTTTGGGTTGAAACAGAGCATCATTCCAGAAATCCTTTCATGCCCCCAGTGGGATCACTGGCAGAGATTTAATTACTACTGAAAAAGCCCAGTGTGGCTTCCTGGAGAGGTGTATAAAATTTCCGCTCAAATTCAGAAGGCTTTACCAAAAAAAAAAAAAAAAAAAAGGTTTGTATTTTTTTTTCTCATTCTCATAGTGTTAAAGAAGGAAAATTTGAACAGAAGTGGTGAGAGAGGGCATCCCTGTGTAGTTCCAGATTTTAGAGGGAATGCCTTCAGTTTTTCTCCATTCAGAATGATGCTAGCCTGAGGCTTAGGATAGATTGCTTTTATAATATTGAGGTATGTTCCTGTTATCTCTAGTTTTTCTAGAGTTTTGAACATAAAGGGATGCTGTACTTTGTCGAATGCTTTTTCCGCATCTATCGAGATGATCATATGGTTCTTATTTTTAACTCTATTGATGTGGTGAATAACATTTATTGATTTCCATATGTTGAACCAGCCTTGCATCCCAGGGATGAATCCTACTTGATCATGGTGCACAATTTTTTTGATATGTTTTTGTATCCGATTCGCCAGAATTTTATTGAGGATTTTTGCATCTAGGTTCATTAGAGATATTGGTCTGTAGTTTTCTTTCTTTGAAGTGTCTTTGTCTGGTTTAGGAATCAGGGTGATGTTGGCCTCGTAGAATGAATTTGGTAGTTCTCCCTCTTTTTCTATTTCCTGAAGTAGCTTGAAAAGTATTGGTATTAGTTCCTCTTTAAAGGTTTTGTAAAACTCTGCTGTATACCCATCCGGTCCTGGGCTTTTCTTAGTTGGTAGTCTTTTGATGGTTTCTTCTATTTCCTCAATTGATATTGGTCTGTTTAGGTTGTCTATATCCTCCTGACTCAATCTGGGCAGATCATATGACTTAAGAAATTTATCGATGCCTTCACTATCTTCTAATTTATTGGAGTATAAGGATTCAAAATAATTTCTGATTATCTTCTGTATTTCTGAAGTGTCTGTTGTGATATTGCCTTTTTCATCCCATATGCTAGTAATTTGAGTTCTCTCTCTTCTTCTCTTTGTTAGCATGGCTAAGGGTCTGTCGATTTTATTTATTTTTTCAAAGAACCAACTTTTAGTTTTGTCAGTTTTTTCAATTGTTTCTTTTGTTTCGATTTCATTAATTTCAGCTCTGATTTTAATTATTTAATGCCTTCTACTTCTTTTGCTGTTGTTTTGCTCTTCTTTTTCTAGGATTTTGAGATGAAGTATGAGATCATTTATTTGTTGGTTTTTTCTTTTTTTAAGGAATGAACTCCAAGCAATGAATTTTCCTCTTAGAACTGCTTTCAATGTGTCCCATAGATTCCGATATGTTGTGTCTGTGTTTTCATTTATCTCTAAGAATTTTTTAATTTCCTCCTTGATGTCTTCTATAACCCATTGATCATTCAGTAACCTATTGTTCATTCTCCAAGTGATGCATGATTTTTCCTTCCTTCTTTTATCGTTGATTTTCAGTTTCATTCCATTATGATCAGATAAGATGCATGGTATTATCTCTACTCCTTTATATTGTCTAAGAGTTGCCCTGTGACATAATATATGATCTATTTTTGAGAAGGATCCATGTGCTGCTGAGAAAAAAGTGTAACTTCTTGATGTTGGGTGGTATATTCTATATATGTCAATTAAGTCTAGGTTATTAATTGTGTTATTGAGTTCTATAGTTTCCTTATTCAACTTTTGTTTGGAAGATCTGTCCAGTGGTAAGAGAGGTGTGTTGAAGAATCCCATGATTATTGTATGGTGGTCTATTAGACTCTTGAACTTGAGAAGAGTTTGTTTGATGAACATAGCTGCACCATTGTTTGGGGCATATATATTTATGATTGTTATGTCTTGTTGGTGTATAGTTCCCTTGAGCAGTATGTAGTGTCCCTCTTTATCCCTTTTGATTAACTTTGGCTTGAAATCTATTTTATTTGATATGAGTATGGACACTCCTGCTTGTTTCCGAAGCCCATATGAGTGATAAGATTTTTCCCAACCTTTCACCTTCAGTCTATTTATGTCTTTTCCTATCAAATGCGTCTCCTATAGGCAGCATATTGTTGGGTCTTGTTTTGTGATCCGTTCTACTAGCCTGTGTCTCTTAATTGGTGAGTTTAAGCCATTAACATTTAGGGTTATTATTGAGATATGGGTTGTTCTTCCAGCCATATTTATTTATTTATGTTACTAAACATGGTTTGTTTTCCTCTTTGATTATTTATCCCCCCCTTTACTGTCCTACCTCCCAGTGTTGGTTTTCATTGTTATTTTCCATTTCCTCTTCCTGTAATGTTTTGCCGAGGATGTTTTGAAGAGATGGTTTTCTAGCTGCAAATTCTTTTAACTTTTGTTTATCGTGGAAGGTTTTAATTTCATCTTCCATCCTGAAGCTTAATTTTGCTGGATACACAATTCTTGGTTGGAACCCATTTTCTTTCAGTGTTTGAAATATGTTATTCCAGGATCTTCTAGCTTTCAGAGTCTGTGTTGAAAGATCAGCTGTTATCCTGATTGGCTTACCCCTAAATGTAATCTGCTTCCTTTCTCTTGTAGCTTTTAAAATTCTCTCCTTATTCTGTATATTGGGCATCTTCATTATAATGTGTCTAGGTGTGGATCTCTTATGATTTTGCACATTCGGCGTCCTGTAGGCTTCTAGGATTCAGGATTCTGTCTCATTCTTCAAGTCTGGGAAGTTTTCTCATATTATTTCATTGAATAGATTGCTCATTCCTTTGGTTTGGACCTCTATACCTTCCTGTATCCCAATGACTCTTAAGTTTGGTCTCTTTATGTTATCCCATATTTCTTGGATGTTCTGCTCATGACTATAAAATTCAAATGTGGCTATGTTTTAAACTTACAACATTTGAATTTTCTTAAAAATTGACTTAAATTACTTCAAAGATCCTTCATAGTCAGATAAGTTCTAATGGAAGAATTGGAACTAAGTTAAAATGCTCTAGAAGACAATATACTGAATAAAGCAAATGAGCCTTCTGCTCTATGGTTTGTGGATAGGCTTAAATGCTATGCCAATTAAATATATCTGTGTTACTATGGCCAAATGCAATGTTTCCCAATAGAATTGAGAAAAGATTAAAAATCTTCTGATGAGTGTTTGTCAGAGTAATAATAATAACCTGGATCTTGCAAGTTGACTATATTATTGAAATGATATGTTTTCTACTAATTCCTTTTGTGTTTCAATAGTAGATTATGATGATCTTGGACCAAAAATCCAGTGACTAAAACATGTGATACCCCAATTGCCTTTAAATATTAAGAAAGGGGGAATTTGTGGGTAGCCACTCCAAATTCAGGCACCTTTAGTCCTGATGCAGCATGAGGGTCTGAATGATCAATGTAGTCTGGTACAGCAGTGCCATGACTGGTTCTCCATCTTTTCCCATGGTTGGATAATAAGGTGTGGTCCTGGGAGTAGCCCTAGGAGTAGGTGCAACCCAGAAGGGTTGAGTGTGGGGAGCCACTCTGAATGATCTGCTCCTTCCATCCTGGAGGGGAGATGCTTTGACTGGCACTACATATCATAGTGACTTGGACATTGCCCTGGTCCCGGAAGTTTGAGGGCACATATTCAAACATAGGCAAGTCACCCCATGGCCCTTTGGGTTGAATTACACTCACATGTCCTTTGTAACCCTGCCACCTCTGATTCTAAGAATGAGGGTCCCCCAGTAAAATCCCACTTCTGAATATACTCACTCTCTCTCACCAGCCTCTCTTGACTTTCTCTTCCTCTCCCATTTGGGGAGCCTGAGGCAGAGAGTGGAGAAACCATCCTGAAGCTTGATTAAAGGTAAAGTGTGTGTCTGTGTTTTCTTTGGTGTCCCTGGAAATTTACATGAGCCACCTTAAGTTCAGCTGCCTGTGTGGGCAGCAGTTGAGCTACGCTCACCTGTTTCCTTGTAATCCTACCCCTTGCCTAATCTGAATGGCTTCTTCCCAATGAAAGGGTTCAGCAAGTGCTCCTCTCTCTCTTTCCACAGACCCCAAGGTTGCAGGAGCCATCACAGAACTCAAAGAAAAAAGGTATTTCTCTGCCTCTCTGTGGTTATTTCCTGTAGCCCAGTTCACCTGGAGTGACCTTGAGTGTTTAGTCATGAGACTCTACAGAACATAAGTGTGTCTATGAAAGAAAGATACATACATGAGTACTGATATGAGATTATTACAAGATAAATGTTTCATCATCTGGAACATGTCAATGAAGATGATAGAAATCAATAATGTCTCACCAGGAAGTGTCAGAGCTGAGAAGTTGTCCTCATAATAAGGCCTAAAAGACCAGAGAGGAGAAAGCTAACTTTGGAAATGTAAATCTTTAACGTGGTAAGAGTTATTAAGCATATAAACACAACATTTAGATAAGCTACTTAATGCCACCTGATTTTTGTAAAATATCTTTTTATTGGAATGACCTCTGTTTTCATTTTAAGAGTATTTGTTAGATATTCAAGATCGAGCTGGTCAAAGTGACCTTGTTCTTATCTATCATTAAAAGTCAACTGAGTTCTCTTGTGGTCTCTGTTGGGGAACCAATGAGCAGCTGTTTAGCTCTGCTAATGCCATCCACCAGAATAAGTCAAGATCTCACTGACCATGTGGCTACCCTTGGAAATATCGTGGAATCTCTGTTTTCCCATGACTCTCCTTTTTCACAGTATGTGTACTGATTGGATTTCTTTTTTAAAGGTCCCAGTAATCCCCCTGATTGGGAGGTCATGTGGCCCAGAGTTGCAAAGTTCTTAGAGAAAGAAGTTCCCTTGTTTCCTGGGTTCAAGCTGACTCAGAGGGCAAGAGCTAAATATTGGGTTTCTTGCCCCCCACCCCACATTTTTTAACCTTAATCTTTAAGCATTGATCTTATATATTCAACAATCCAGTCTTAAATTAAGATAACTTGGCTTTAACTTTAATGTTTATAACTTTACCGTCATCTTTACCCCTTTTATTTAATTGAGGTCTCTATTAGTCCTGGAAGTTAGCATTATATACTGTCTATACTATAGATAATGGCCTTATAGTTCAAATTAATTTAGGTTGTTATATTTGAAATTGTACTTTTATAAGGCACTAACATATAGCAGTTAAAATTTAAAAGGAAAATTTAAAAGAAAATTAACAAGAGTAAAAACTCTTGAAATTAACAAGAGTAAAAAAAAAAATTAGTTTGTACATAATCTTAAACCTCAGCTGAGTTATACATTATATCCTATGTTTGAGACCACAGTAGACTTTAAAATAAAATATCAATCTTTTGAATAAAATTTGAAGTGAGATGAGTCTGGCCTAACTGATCATGTTAGTTAACACAATATGACATTATCTGAAACAAGAATTAAAGAAAGGCTAAGAGAGGTTTAACTTTCATTTTGTGGAATAAGTGGCAAAACATTTTTTATGTTTTACAAGATTAATCTTTAAGTAGATCAGTCCCTCATTATCTTTTAGAAATTCATTTACATTTTTATCCCAGTGTAACAAGTAACTAAGGTTTAGATTCAGTTACAGAACATTAAATGATATAAATAAATTTGTTATCATTATAAGTCTAAAATTACCATTAGAGACAATTTAAGTTTGAAAACTACTAGCTTGATAAAATATTCTTTCAAAACTTTTAGTGTCAGGGTTGTGGCTCAGCAGTAGAGCGCTCACCTAGCATGTGTGGGGAGTCCCTGGGTTTGACTCAGCACCACATATAAATAAAATAAACATAAAAAAATAAAATAAAAATTTTACTTTAAAGTCTTCTATACCTGAGATATATGAACACATTTAATATACAAAGAGTATATAACAGTGCCATAATTACATTGATGTTTAAATATTAATCATGTTTAGGTTTTAAAGAAAAATCTAGACTCTGTAATTTAGTACAATACTCTAAAATAACAATATAAACCCTGATTTTTAACACTAATTGCTCTAGACAGTAAAACTTAACAGACTCAATGTTAAGTCTTTGTCATTTCAACATATGTAGTAAACTTTGGTTTATATCAGTACATTAATAATTGACTTTAGGGAAAAAACCTTGAGTAGATTTAACTGATTGTATTACTTATGTATAACCAACTTAATTGTACACAAACCTTTTAAAATTTACCCTTCATTTATATAGACATTTTTATCACTTAATTATATTCTCTTTTTTTTAAAATTTAGGTGTATTACAACTTTACTACATAAAGACTCTCTTACCCAGTGGAAGGTCCTTGCTTAGCATCTGGATGACCATCTTAAGCATCAGCTGCCTTCTTAAGAAAAAGGTTTGCTTTCCTGCCCCATGGTAACTGACTATTCTTTCATTATTCAGCCAACATTATCCTTTGTACCCTAATAATGTCAAAATTAATGAAGAACACAAACACCTAATACTTTGTTTTATAGCCAGTTTATTAGCTTCCAACACCAGCAGGGCCATGGCTTCAAGGGCCCATAAGCAAGGTGGCCAACCTTGGGCTACATACGGAGTCCAGCTGATTAGATAGATAGGCCACTGGATGTGCCATGTTCCCAGCATTTGAGTCAAACCCCTACAGCTATTCCATACCATTCATGGACATAGAGGAAGAAGGCTTTGTGAGGTCAGGGAGTCCTAGTCCAGGTGCATTGGTGAGAGCTTCTTTAGTGTCCTCAAAGTCCTTTTGTTTTGTTGGCCCCCCAAAGAGCAGATCTATTCTCCCCCTTCACAGAGAGGTTTGCCAGAACTGAATACTTGGGGATCCATACACAGCAGAATTAAGTGGCACCAAAGATCTCTGATTTGACAGCAGGTTGAAGGAACTGGATTTGAGCATATCACCTGTCTTCTCTTGTAGCCCAGTTACCACTGTTTTTGAGTCAGACAGAAACCAAGGTTCTTTTCTTGACAGATCTGGGCTTTCTTTTTTGAAACTTTGTAACCAGCCTTACATAGGAGAGTGAGAAGCAGCTGTGCTCTTTTTATGCCATTTTCTCTGGTTGCTCCAGCCAGGAACAGATCATCTACATATTGGAACAATGTGCATCCACATTGTTTTGCAGGAAAGGCTTTTAGTCAGAAGCCATTACCATCCCAAAGATGATTAATGAGTTTTGAAACCTTGTGGTAACCTAGTCCAGGTCAATTGGCCCTTGTTCCCAATGGAGTCTCCTTATTAGAAGGCAAAGGGTGGCTGACTCTGCGGTACTAGTTGCATTCAGAAGAAGGCATCTTTAAGGTCCAGACATGTGAAATAGCCTGCCTCGGCTGGGGGCAGATTTAGGAGATTATGTGGATTGGGGACCATGGGATGTAAGGTGACTGGGCTTGATTTTCTGCATGTAATGTTGGACTGGCCAATAATCATCAGTTTCTGGTTTCTGGACAGGAAAAGGAGGTGTATTTCATGATGATTGGTGAGTTCTGAGAATTCCACATTGTAAAAAGTGTGTTCAAATGTTTTTGAATTCCAAGTTTTGCCCTAAAAGGAATGTGATGTTGTCTTAGGTGTCCCATATGGCTTCATGTTCAAATTTCATCACCACTGGGAGAAAGTTTTGGGCTAGTCAGGTGGGCTGGCCTCTGTCCATACTCATTGTAGTTCGAAAGGGATTTGTGGTTCCTGTTGTGATGTTTCTACTAGGCTGAAGAGGTGCCACTCCTCTTCCCAGGGAATTGTGAGGGTTAAAATATTTGCTTCAGGTTTTCTCAATGATATCAGTGACTGGCCTTTTGCATCAACATTTATCTTGGCTTGGAGCTTTCCTACCAGGTCTCAACCTATCAATTTAACTGGGCAATCTGGCATGTATAGAATTTGTGTTGTTTCCCAACACAAATTTGTAGACTACTTTATGGCCTGCTGAATTTCAATGCTGTGGTAACAGGAAAGGATGATCTGATTTGCTTCCTGGGGCCCCCACAATTGTGGTCTCTTTCTTTGAAAGTTGGCCCACATGTTGGGTCACAACCAAATGGTGAGCCCCAGCATCCACCATACAGTCCATAGGTTTGTCCCCTATAAGCATTTGAACCATAAGCTTCTGGGGGTCCAAAACAATGGAGCCCAGTCAGTCTTCATACTCATCATAATTTTCCATGGCTTCCAGTCCCACAAAAATTTTCTCATGGGCATCATAGTAGTGTCTGTGGCGTTGAGCATCATGGGGGACACATTTGTAGGACTGGTATCATCCTTGAATGACTTGGCCTCTCTTATCCTGGTAAGAAGTAGCAGGAAATCAGGTGGCTTTCTTCATTGTGGGGCATTCATTTTTCTAGTGGCCCTCTAGATAGCAGTGGGTGCATTGGTTTAGTCTCAGCCTAGTCTCCAGGTGAGGAGGTTGGTCCAGAGGATCCTTCTTCCCTGCATCTGGTCCTGATTCTGATATTTGTTTTGGCTTTATCCTGGTGGAAACCCCTTTGGGTGACTTCTGGGTCTGTAGGAAGGGCAGCTACAAGGAGAAACCATCTTCTTCATCTTTCAATCTGCTTCTTGCTGGGTCTCTTAGTCTTGATTAACAAACACTGTGGTGGCCACTTCAAACAGCTCACTAGAATTCTTTCCAGCAAAACCCTCTAGTGTTTTGTAATTTGGGTGACTGTCACTCTATGCCTGTCCCACTAAGCTTGCATTGACCACCTGCTGGTTGTCTGGTGCCTCTGGATCAAAGAGAGTAAAGAGTCAGAAGCTTCACAAAGTTGTTCATAGAACTGGCTGGGGATTTCATCAGGCTTTTGGAATACTTCTGACATCTTGTTCATGTTTAGGGCTCTCCTTCCCGGCTTTTAGGCCTCCTATGAGGGGTTCTTGATATCTCTTTAACTTTTGGAGGTCTTCATCTTTGCAAGGCTCCCACCCTGAGACTGTGTTGGGAAATTGGGCATGGGCATGGGCTTGATGTTGCCTTGTGCATCTGGGGCATGTTCTTCTAGCCATTTTAAAGTGCTTGGGTCACCCATTGGCTCTCCTTTGTATTGATAGAGTAAGACATAGCTGGCAGCAGTTCCCCCAGTGTTTTAGTCAACTATTTTGCTGCTTGACTAAAGGATCTGACCAGAACAATTTTAAGGGAGAAAAAGTTCATTTGAGGGCTCACAGTTTCAGATGTCTTAGTCCATAGAAAGTGACTCCATTGCTTGGTGCTCCAGTTGAGGCAGGATGTCATGGTAGAAAAATGTGGTAGAGAGAAACAGCTCACATGTTTATCTGGAAGGAGAGAGAGAGAGAGAGAGAGAGACAGACAGACAGACAGACAGACACTCCACTTTCCTGATACAAATATGTATCTAAAGCCACCTCAATTCCCACCTTCTCCAGCCACACCCTACCGCTTTAGTTATCACTCAGTTAATCCATATTAGGGGATTAAATAATTAATTGTGTCAAGGCTCTTACAACCTGATTATTTGTCCTCTGAACCTTCTTGCATTGTGTAACATGTGAGCTTTTGGGGGGACCCTCACATCCAAACCATAACAAGCAGGGAGGATAATAGGTCTGGATAATGGATTGCATCATATCAATCATGGTCTCAGATTTCTGTGTGTAGGAGGTAATATTATTTTTCCAATTTCAGAGATCTTTGGAGGCAAAATCCTGATACTTGGAAATGCATTGAGACCCTCAGATGATTTATTCCAGGTCAACATAGGCAGGTCCTCTAGTCTCTCACAGGGGCATTTGGAGAGCTCTCAGCTGGGTTGTGGCTCTGGTCTTAGGATGGGTTTCCATCTTGATCTTGCAACTAGGAGGAGAAATCTTTGGCCCTTGGGAAGCCTCTGGCCTGAGCACCTCATAGGGGAAGGAGTATCTGGTTTTGAAGAGCCATAATCAGCTGTTTCTTGGGATTAGGGGGCTGAGGGGACTGCCTGTTGTCTCAGTGGTCTTGGAAATGTTGGATACAGTGGCATGTAAGGAGGTGGGCTTTCTTCTGGCTCACTGGGTAAAACTGGTTCTTTTTCTGTCTTTTCTTTGTCAGATTTTCTCTGCTTAATTTGCCTTTTTTTAGGTCTTAGAGGCTGCTACAATCTGAGCTAACCTCAATTTGGATTGTCCATCTAGACAGGCTCTCAACCAATGGGGTGTTTTTCTAGACTATTTCTTGCCAGCTATTAAGGGAACTATTCTGGGTGTTCAGGGGTTTCAGCAACTATTAAAGAGACCTCAGCAATGATACTTTCAATTAAAGATCCTTCTGGTGGCCAGGCCACACCAAAGCTTGGCCATTCTAATTCACAGAGAGAACACAACTTTGCTGAGTGAATTTCTGGGTGTAAACTGGCAGTCTTCCCCTTAGCTCATCAGCTGGTAAATCTGGAGTGCCAGGTGGTGAATAAATGTTTCATCTCCTGCTTAAGACAGACTCAGTGATTTATTGCAATCTCATCATAACAATGGTCAGAGCAAAATTTCACAACCCCCAAATTACACAAACAAAAAAGGAGTCACAGTTTCCCTTATGCTTGCTGACCCCAAACAGAGACTAATTAGGTGGCTCCCTGGATCCTTTTTGGTTCCAACTCCTTTTTGGTTCCAACTCCTTTTGGAGGTTATTCAGGACCTTGAAATGCTGAACAATCCTCTGTCCCCCCTACTTAGTTGTCTTGGGGGAGGTCAGATTGGCTACCACTGAGGGACCAGGACCTACCTTTTTGTTCAGGTGGTGCTTCTCATTTCCTATTTCTGGTTTCTGTTCCTCATGGGTTCTGTTGTGCTTCAGGGTGGAAGTCCTGAGATGTCAGGTGAGTTGTTTCTTCTTCAGCCAAAGAAACAAATGAGGCTGAACACCAGCGGATTTAACAGAAAGCAGGTTTATTGGCTACAGCCAGTTCAGAGTGTGGCTATATCCTAAAATTGCCTCCTATGAACCATGAGTCTAGAAATTCTTTGAACTTTATACCCACTGGGAGGAGGGGCTTGGATTTCTACTTTTGCTGCAGTCTACCTAAAAGTGTCATTTTTCTTTGAATTCATAGAGAGTGCTTTTGTTTTACTTTTTTCTTTTTATTTTTGGTTTTAGATTAGTCAGAGGTTATATGGTTTACCACAGAAGCAGAAGTAACATCATAAAGTCTGTTGCCAAATTTAGCTTTTACAAGACAAAGTAATCGGAAATAGGAAGTCTAATCACACTTGGGCTTTTTTGCAGGAATTTTTTCTGATATTCTCTTAATAAGAACAGATATGTTGAAGGTACCTGGAAAAGCTTAATTAAGCTTCATTAGTGGAGGAGGGAGCACCACTATACTCAGGGACTTCACAGGGTTTCAATAGTTCTTATTATTTTTCCTGGGGCTC